CAGAAAAAGTTACCAACAATGAACTCAAATATCTGTTGATTATTTGTTTTTTGAGTCTCCAAAGTACAAACTGCACAAAAGCCTACCCCATGTGTTTCTTGCCCTCTGTACCATCTCATTCTTAGAAAGGTTTGATTTGGCTCACAGAACTGGATAGAGCATGAAACCGCATGCATGTAAATTTCAAATAAGAGTATTAGGAAATCAGGGCAATGCAGAGATGAGAGAAGAGACGGAGGAAAGCAGGGGCAATGTGAATGCACAGCACAAAAGCACCAAGATGCCCTTACTTTTCCATGGGCCACCAACTTGGCTCCCAGCAACCACCACAGGAAGAGACATAGTCCCTATTCTAATTCAGAATGTTTACTGGATGTTCACCAAGAGGACCATGATGATCTCTGGTGCAAAGAACTATTTATTCTATGAGTGTTTGCACAAAATGCATCAGGTGAATTGTAATGAAGCAAGACGTCAACAACCTCCAAGCTGTTGGGAGGAACTCTGGTAACACTGACACATGGATTCAAAGTCTTCCATTGTGGGTCAACTCCAGATCCTAAAGTAGAAAACCCCAGAAATTCTACGACGTTCCAAAGTTCCAAAATAAGCACATACTATCCTAAAGACGTCCACCAGTAACTGCTGGGGACTGGTTCCAGAAGCTCCTGTGGATACCCAACTCCACAGATGCTCAAGTACCTTGTTTAAATGGTATAGCACTTGCACATGACCCCCACACATCCACTCTGCCCCATATGCTTTCAATCGTCCTAGAATACATGTGATACATAATGCAATGCAAATGCTATGAAAAAAAAATCACTCTACAGTATTATTTAGAAAATGACAACAGGAAAAAAGATAGTATACATTTGGTATAGATGCAGTTTTCTTCCTAAGGTTCTTGTTTTGTTTTTTAATACTGGGGATTGAACTTAGGGGCGCCTAACCACTGAGCCACATCCACAGCCTTTTTATATTTTATTTAGAGACAGGGCCTTGCTGAGTTTCTTAGAACCTCGCTAAGTTGCTGAGGCTGGCTTTGAACTCGTGATCCTCCTGCTTCAGCCTCCCTAGCCTCTGGGATATACCACCACGCCTGGCCTTCCTCACTATTTTTCATACATGTCCGCTAAAATTCATGGATATGGAACTTGTGGACATGGAGACCGATAGAACTTTTATTATCAGAAAACTAATATTCTGTAAATTAAAGAAAATAAAGGAAGCAGCACCCTTGATAGCCTGGTACTTCTTTGATGTAGAATCTGCGCCAAGACAAGACTCCATCCATCCCAGCCTAGCTGTTCCTATGCGGCTAAGCTGGGGCCAGGATGAGACCAGGCACAGTGGCTATTCTGAGACCTGTAGCCCGGGAAGGGGGTGGGGGGGAATTTCATCACTTTGGTGATGAGGCTCCAGGTGCTGACTATAAAAAGCCCTGGTGAATGGCGATGATCATTTGTCATCTTTTAAATGGAGTGCCACAACTTTACATCTAGTTCAGCAACATGAGTAATCCCCAGCCTGGAGCCCTGATGCTCACTGCTTTAGGCCCCGTGCCTAGCACAAAGCCCGGTGCAGGTCTGAAGTCCACATTCATCCAATGACTGACGTGCCTGTCTGAGAGACGCTGCGGATATTCTGGGGTTGTCCTGCCAAATTCTTCCCCAGCTGGGCCTCACCTACAATGTCCCAGCTCTCACCTGTGATAATCAGTCAGGTGAGAATAGGGGCCCAGACATGGGCACCGAGCTCCTGAGAGTGCATCAAGGAAAAGACATTAAAAATTGAAAAGGAAAATTCTGAACAGCCAGGTGTCTCCTCTTGCTCTGGACCCTTCGTTGCAGGGATAAACATTTGGACAGCTCAAGACAAACACAGCTTGGGGTTCCTAACAGGCAGCGCAGCTTCCTCTTGTGTGCTGTGACTGCAGCGTAAAGTGTGTTCTGTGTGCAAGCAAGGCCTACAGGCCCAGTCTCAGGCAGCTACCTCCTGGAACTCAAGATCCTGACCGCTGTACAGCAGGCCTGCTCTGCTCTGAGGGCCCAGCAGCCCCGGCAGGACATTCTCAAGGGGACCTTCAGAAAGCAACTTCAGCTGGCATCTTGGGAAGCCATAGGCAAGGGGGCCAGGGCAGCTCTGCTTCTACATGCAAATGTTAAGAGGGTCAGGCCAAGTGGCCTGAGGAACCAGTTGGCACCACGGGGGTAACGTCAAAATGTCACAGCCAAAGCAACAGCTGGCAGTGGCTTGGCAAAGAAAAGGCATTATCTTCAGCTGAAGGCACAGCAGGCTGGGAGTCTGGAGGCCCACAGTCACCAGGCTGGCTCCGTCACCTTTGGCAAGTCAAGGGCCTCCCATGCTTTGGTTTTCTCGGTTGTAAAGAGAGATGGGTTCCTGGGGAAGGCTGGCTTGCTTCCTTGTGAGGAGCCCCCGTAACCCAGCAGCAGGGCAGGAAATGCAGGATGAATAAAATGACACAGCATGCCCCATCACAAGAGGCTCTCAAAGATGTGAGGGGCGGCACAGCAGTCACATCGAGGGGGCTGTGGGGTGTGCGTGGCACCAGGAATCCCACATGCACCACATCACCCCATCTACAACTCGGTGTTGGGTAAGGCCTTGCCTCTCAGGAGCCACGGCCATCCCCCTCCCTGGGCTCTCACTGACACAGGGCTCACTACCCTCACCTGTCCTAAGACCTCCAACTTCTGCCTTCTCCCTAGGTCTGTCTGTATCCGCCTACTGTCCGTATAACAACCCCTCATGGTACCTCTCCCTCAAAATCTCCTAGTCTTTTATACCCAGCCCAAATTCTCCAGCTTGGCCTTCGAAGACCTGACAAGCTGTCTCCAGTCCCCTTCCTGATCTTTCTTGCTCTCGAATGCCCTTGTGTTCGTGGCCCTGGGCCTCACAGGTGGGGTCCCTTCTTCCTGCAATGTGCCAGGCTCCCCTCTGCTCCCACAGCTTGCTCACTGTGGAAGGATTTCCTCTCTTTTGACTTTCAGGATCCTAACTCTCCTCTCAAAGCTCCACTCCAGAGCTTTCCATCTCACTCAGTATTCTTCTCAGCTTCTGGATCCCCGGAGAGGTCCTTGTTTTCGAGCTTTAAGGATCTTCTTTTGGGGGGTATCTTCTGGACCACCAAGTGTGTGCCTGGTTCATTTAACTTGGAGGCCTCCTCCCTGGGGTCTCCTGCCCCCTCCTACAGCCTCCCCAATACACGAGCACGCACACGCAGCCCGGACTCCACATCTCTCCCCATGTACTCTTTCGGCCATGGCCATGCACGGTGCAGTAGAATCAGGGTTATTCCCTGTATCCCACAGGACTGAGAAGACACTTGACCCAGAGTCAGAACTTGGTACCTCTTGGCTCATGCTGATGAAGACAATGAGCACTAATTATGAGGGTCACATGTGAGGAGGTCGTGTTCCATTGCACAACCAAGCTGCCTTCCCTTCTGTGTCTGCCATCACCGTGTGCATTGAGGGCACAGCCGCCATCTTAACCACATGAATGTCAGACTGACTCCAACCTTGGTATCTCCCAAGCAAACTTCACTCACACACAGCCCAAAGGAGCCATGGAGGCCTCGCCCAGGAACCAGAAGGGAGGATGACGATGGCCACACAGCACAGCCAACAGGAAGCACCTGCACGTCCTCAATGGACACGCTCTCCCCTAGGCCTCCCCCCTCTGTCTTCCTCCTGCAGTGACTGACCTCACCGGCTTTTCTCTCCTCCTCCCAAACCCCGGCCTTGCATCTCTCCTCTTCCTGACCTGTCCTCCATGGGTCTCTATCAGCCATGACTTCACAGCCACAAACCTGACAGTGGCTCCCGCAGTTCCCAGGGCCCTGTCCCCCAGGGAGGCCATCTGGCCAGCCTTCTTTGGATTCCTGGAGCAGGGAGTTCAACATCTCCTCCAAAGGTCTGTGAGGGGTTTATCCCAAGCACAACGCAGAACTCCCCCCAAGAAGGATGAGTTAAAGTCTTGACCCCTCGCTCCGTCCACAATCACCTCCTCCCTGAGACTCTACAGAGAATCACAGAGGTCATAAGACCCATTCCCAGCATCCCTGGCTGACCTTGGATCTCTGAGCCTCACTCTGGGACCAGGAAGGGTGGCCCCACACCATACAGCTTCTAGAGTCACAGAGAGAAGTCACCCCAAAGGCATCGTCCTTCTCAGGGAAACTCCCGACCCAGAGTAGACTCAAGAAAACCAGTGATCAGGGCAACCACAGCCGGGAGACCCCTGTTGCCAGAGCCTGGGCTTGGCAGCGGTGGCCGTCTTGTCCCTGAGTGCCCAGGTATTCGGTCACTCTAAACCTGTCCCACCCATGATCCTCCCCCGTAACCAGGGGCTCACGAGGCCAGTCAACTAAGCCGAGCTCTGTATAAGCAGATCAGAGAGAAGCAGGACTCGCTGCAGACAGGCTTCGGCAACTTTGGCATCTGAACTAAGGGCACGTGGGCAGTGCTCCAAGCACAGGGGCCGTGGACAGCTTCAGCATGACCATGATGGTGAGTGTCCACCAAGGGCAGGATCCAGTTCACACAATGCCTAATAAGACACTGCCCCCAAAGGAGCTCACTTCACTGCCCAGCCGCCAAAGGACAGCAGTGACATCCCCAGAAGGCCACATGCACACACACATATACAAACACACAGCACCCTGGACCCTGGGTGTACAGGTCCTCCATAGGCACCTGGCATGAGTTTCTTGGCCCCGCTTTGTTCTAAGATGGTCCAGGTGTGTGTTTTTGTGTGTGCGTGTATGTGCGTGTGTGTGCACCTGTGTGTACATCTCTCCTGCAAGCAGATAAACTTAAAAGTGTGCCCTCCAATGGGCTCCCAGCCCAGGCTCTGCAAATCCCTCCCGGGCCACCAGCTTAGCTGGAGGAGGCCCAGCAGGACACCACATCTCACAAACAGAGCCATCAAGGGCACAGGTGAGGCCTCCTGGCGTGGGGAGGCCGGGGACTCACCAGGACTCTGCCGGTCAGCGTCTGGGCGGATATCATCACCCCGGCCCAGTCCTTCACGGAGGTCATCCAGCCGACCTCGGCTGCCACCGCCTCCTCTTTCTCGTCCACTGGCTTGAGAGTGCCATCAGCCTGGGTGGAGCCATTGTTAATCTTCTGGGCCTCCTGGCAACAGAGAGAAGGAGAGTTGGAACCTAGGGAACAACTGGATTTAAATACACCCCTTCCCACAAGGAATCGAAGCCCAAGGGTGGCCCCCACTGAGGTGGGGAGGAGGGGTGGGCGAGGGCTTCGACTTTGTAACGATCAGTTTTTAAAACGTCTTTTCTCAGCCAGGGCGCGGTGGTGCATGCCTGTCATCCCAGCAGCTCGGGAGGCTGGGACAGGAGGATCACAAGTTCAAAGCCAGCTTCAGCAACAGCGAGGCACTAAGCAACTCAGTGAGACCCTGTCTCTAAATAAAATACAAAATAGAGCTGGGGATGTAGCTCAGTGGCTGAGTGCCCCTGAGTTTAATCCTTGGTGCCCCAAAAATAAGCAAATAAAAGTTTTTCCTTTTAAAATACTTTTGCAAATGAGACATTATTCTCTGTCCATTTTAAAAAGAAAAGCCCCCAACCTCAGGAGGAAAAGCAACCTGTCCAGGGTCCCAGGGCCGTGGGAGAGAGCTCGCCTGCCCAGTCTTTGTGATCCTTGCACACCAGTACACTCACCTTCTTTTAAAGACATTCCCGTCTCTTCCTCTCCGTCTACGTGATTCAAAAGGGACTAATGGCCTCACACTGTTTCAGTCAGTCCATTCTATTCTCCTGGTAACAGTGTCTGGGCCAGGGATGGTCATGTGACCCATGCTCACCCACTACAACTCAAACCCAGAAAATTTGCTGGAGAGAGTAGAAAAAAGCAATCCTTCTGTGAGAATAAAGCCACTGTGGGAGGAAAGTAGAAGCTATAGGATATCAGTGTCATCACTTGAATACCTGGATCCAGCTAGGCCTGAAATCCATACCAGACCTTTTCGGTTTAGGAGAGAATAAATTTCCCTTTACAGCTTAAAAAGTTCCTTAAGATAAAAAGGCTGACTTTATCAGATGACTGAACTCCACACAGGGTTCTTGATTATACAAGTTTGCACACAATATGCTCTCTGCTGGAACACTTTTCTCCCATCAATGCTTGGGGCTTGCTCCCTCATCTCCTGAAGTGCTTATCTATCCCCTTCTCAGTGAAGTCTTTTCTGGCTACCTTTTTAAATTGCAAGTCTTTCCTTCTATGGCACTTTTCTGCTTGATTTTTCCACACAGCACTTAAAACTCCTAATTCACTCCACAATCCATTTACTCTTTCATTTACTGTCCGCCCCCCACCCCCCACTGCTGTGGCCCCAGTACCTAACAGAGTCCCTGGCACAAAGTTGGTTCAATAAGCATAAAGGAATGAGTGAAATGTGTATCAGCCCTTCATCAACTGTACAGCCTGGGCTGGGGCTGCTAGACTTAAAACAAAACAAAAAAACAGGGCATCCAGTTAAATTTGAATTTCAGATAGACAATAATATTTTTAGTTTAAGTATGTCCCAAATATTGCATGGGACATACTTGCACCGAACTTTAGTATTTATCAAATTTGCAAATGTAACTGGACACACATTGAAACACCCACTGAGATTATGACTGCCATGATGATGTGTAAAAAGATGACAGCCAGCAAATTATATTCATCATTTAAAACCCTGGAGTTGATTTTCCAAAGCAAATCCTTGGGCCTTGAAATATGGGGAGTATCAGAGGCAGAGGTGAAAATCTTTGCATGGGAGGACTTGGGGCCAAGTGAGGCCAGGGGAGTGCAGAGGCCGGTGCGGAGGCCAATGGGGAGGCTGGTGGGGAGGTGCTGAATGAGGCAGCCCAGGGCTCGGCCACAGCAGGCAGGAAGCTGCTCCTGATGGTGCTTCTCCCCTCTGGACGCCCTGGCTGGGGCAAGCTGGGGATGGGAGAAGCTGCACAGAAGGCTGACATTTGCTTCCAAGTGTGTCAGGCCCCAAGGACTAGAACAATCCCAGCAGGAGCCTGGGAGGGGAGGCCACTGGGTGGGCATCTTTGAAGGTCACCTGCTGACCGGTGTGGCACCAAGCCTCTCCTAGACCAGTCTTAGTGGCCTGTTAGGCCATGTCCCAGTCTGTGAGACTCAGCCCTGTGAGGCTGAACAGGTGGGTCTCTAGGGAGGAGGGAGGTCCCATCCATGGGCAGCCATAGTAACCAATGGTGCAAACCCAGAGGGCAAATCTAGCTCTCGTGACTCTGTGGGACCTCCCCTGTAAGGGACAATCCTGCCCGCTCCACAGGCACTGGGGTTAAACAGCACCCAACGGCACATAATACATGCTCAACCCATTGGTCCCACCACCCCTTCCCCTGCCCACTCCTGGACACTGCAGAGGGGTGGCTGTCCACCTTGAGCTGGTACCTGGGGCCTGGGGAAGGCCTGTGAAACACAGGGGGCTGGCCACGCTGGAACTGTGCTTCTACCCAGTTCCCAGGCAGTGCCCATCCGCTGACCTGGGGACCCCATTCAGGGAACCACACCCTGACCATCCTGGCAGTGCCCGAGGAGCTCTGCCTGATCTGAAATGGGACATGATGGTACCCAGCTGTCTCCTGGCCTTTTCCTTCCTCGGGGCCTCCTGCTTCATTCAGAACTGGACAGCTGGGGGGAGAAGGCCCTCAGAGCAAGGCCCTGTGCTTCCCCCAGAGTAAGGCCCACCAGGGGTGTGTCTGAACTGCTTCCTGCTGCCACTACTCTCTGCTCCTGGATTCGGGCTCCATGGCCACCTCTGGGGGAGGGAACTCCAGGAACAGCCCAGAAGGCGGGAGGCCCGATGCATCAATAATCCCCGGCGCGGGAGGCGTGTGGCAGATTGTGCGATTTTGTGCGATTTTGCAGCCCTCTCACCTATTGTTTTACAAGGCATTCATTATTTTAATTACTTTATGGTAGGCAAGGAAAACAGACTGAAGGGAGATAATGCCCTTGTTATTATTTGCTTACACTAGATGTTTCCAGCTTAATTACCACGTGGGGGAGCCAGGATGGGGGAGGCACCGTGGGGAGATCTGGGGAGCAGAACCAAGGCCCTGCCAGCGGCCAGTACCCAGCCAGAGGCCTCCCCACCACCGACCTACTCTGCCCTAAGCACCTGCAGCAAGTGTCATGACCCCGTGCACCAGAGAAAAGCGGGCAGAGGCCTGGAAGGGTAAAGTGGTCTGGCTGGGGACATACAGGAGACAGGAGGGTGCTGGGGCAGAGCCCATTAGAATGTAATGGCCACCATTTATCAAGCCAGAACAGGGCACCAACAATTAGCTGTTTCCTGTGCATTTCCTCGTGTAAACCTTATAATAATTCCACAGGCAGGTGACGGCGAGCTATCCCCATTTTACAGATAACTGAAAGTAGGTGACTCAGGAGACAGAATAGAGCCTGAGAGCTACAGCTGGAGGCAGGGAGCCCACGGGGGATGCATTCTGCTCTGTCCCTGACCATCTGGGTCCCCTGGCTCTCACTGTGTAAAATGGGGAGACGCACACCACTCCTAGGGAGGCGCTGGGAATTTTTCTCTTTTTTTTCAATAACAGGGATTGTACCCAGGGGTGCTTAACCACTGAGCCACATCCCCAGCCCTATTTATTTTTCATTTTGAGTCAGAGTCTTGCTGATTCTCAGGGCCTCGCTAAATTGCTGATGAGGCTGGATTTGAACTTGTGATCCTCCTACCTCAGCCTCCTGAGCCTCTGGGATTATAGGCAATCGCCTCCACTGGGAATGTCAAAGGAGGTAGGTAGTGCACAGTGCATGCACAGGGCTCCACATGAAGTAGCTACAGCCGCAGCAACATGGCACCAGGTGCTTCCTGGGGTGGTCTGTTGACCCCACATCAGCTGGGGCTCTGGGTGGGACACTGAGTGAACCCTTATTAAACCTATACAGAATGGAGGTAAACAAGTGTAGTTTCTCAAGGTGGTTTCCCTCCAACTAAGCACTTGGCCCCTGGAGGAAGTGCCCTGGGTTCTAGAGAAAGGACATCCCCCACCCAAGACAACTCGGAGGGGGCCAAAGCCAAGGGCCTCTTCCATCCTTTATGGCTCTAAGTTCCATCGGACCAGCCTCCGATGTCTGAGATGGGGAGACCTAGGGCCAGAGTGAGTCCAGTCCTCCACTCTCCCTGCGTCCCCACCACACGTTGCCTCAGAAGGGAACAGTGCCATGAGTACCCAGCCATCCCAAACGTCCCACTGCCCACTGCAGAGGAAGACCGGCCACCACCCAGGGAGGACCTCTGAGCATGGGCAGACAGACTGCTGCAGTGTCAGCCAGGAAACCACCGTGTGTGCACGTGTGTGAGAGTATATAAGAGAGAAAGACCCTGCTGGCCACATGCCCTAGTTGCCCCAGTCTCAAGAGGACAGCCACCAGATCCTTAGAAATAGGTGAAAGGACGCTTTGGGGGTAGGGAGAAGAAAATAGAGGGAGTGAACAGTAGAGAAAAAACATGAAGGTTTGGGGCAGTGGTTCAGGCAGGCAGGGGACTAGGCCAGAATGCAAAGATCATGCTGGAACCTTCACCAGAGCCCCCAGTCCCAGCCTGGGAGGATCTCTGAGAAAGGAGCTCAGCAGGCTGGGAGGCCCCTCTGCAGCCGTCACTCAGCTGCTGCCCCCACCCTGCCCTTCCTTGCAGAGTTTGCAAAAGCAAGCTGCACCTGCCTCCTGGACCCGGATCCAGGCTCAGTGCCCAGAACAGAGGCAGGGAGGTTCACAGTGAGGTGCAGGCACAGGAGGTCGGGGACACTGACTAGCAGAGTGGCCTGGTCCTTACACAGCCTTCTCCTCATTCCTCTTGGCAGTGCTCCCCACAAGGACTTCCTGTTGAATGGCCACAGAGGGCATCCCCTCTCCTAGATCGCCTGTGGCCAAGGGCCTGAGGGATCCCAGGCACTTGGTGCTCACCATCCTGACCACCCAGCTCTTAGGTATTTGGGCATTTCTACCTGAATCTCAAGATGAAAGACCAAAGCTTGAGAAGGGACCTCAGGATGCCACCCTCCCCTGACTGCACAGATGAGAAATCAGCCTGAAGGAGAAGTCACAAGTCCGGGCCACCCAGGCCAGCT